AAGAAACTCTCTTCTTTAATAGCCTACCTCAATATAAGGTTTAACCTACTGCCTGAAGGACAGCAGGGAGGGGGCCATTCTGGCTTCCCTGGGCAGGGAGTTCCAGAGACAAGGGTCAGCCACTGAGAAGGAAGGCCATCTCTCTTGTTCCCACCAGTTGAGCTTGAAATGGGACCAAGAGAAGGGCCTCTCCTGAAGACGACAGGGCCAGGACAAGTTTGTACAAGGGGATGTGGTAGGCCAAATAGCCTGGGCCTAAACCATCTAGGGCAGTGGCCCCCGATATTTTGGCCTTCAACTTCCAGAAATCCTGGCTGGGATTTCTGGGAGTTGTAGGCCAAAACACCAGGGACCCACAGGTTGAGAAGCACTGACCTAGGGCTTTAAAGGTCATAACCAGCACTTTGAATTGTGCCTGGTAACAAACCGGCAACCAGTGGAGCTACCTCATCAGGGGTTTTGTCTGCTTCTTGTTGCCAGCCCCAATGAACAACCTGGCTGCAGCTTTTTGGATCAGCTGAAGTAATCCAGATGGGATGTAAATAAGACATGCACCACTGTGGGCAGATCTGGCTTCTCAAGGAACTATTAAATATTGAAACTATTAAGAATGAACCATTAAAACCATATTCACATACCTAAAACACTTCATAACACCCCTTTTCTCAGTCTTTCTTCTACCCCTCTATGCAGTGGCGCATATTTTTTATTATTGTATACCTTCCAGTTGTTTCTGAATTATAGCAACCCTAAGGCAAATCACGTACGGAGAGTTGGGGGGTACTTACGACAGTAGGTTATGTCAGGTTCAGTATTTTCAGTGTTTAGTCAAACTTGGTATTTGTATAGGCATTAAAGCTTTAATCACATGTGACTCTTTTTGTCCCTCTGTAATATCTTATTTCTACTTAAAAATGTGGCTTCAGTGAGCATTTTCCTATTTCTTGGTTGGAAAAAACCTGTGTGTAATGTAGGTATGGTAGCTTGCAACTCTGTCACCCCGTAAAGGGCATTTTTGACTCTGGATTTAAAGGTTTTACAGTGTATGGGCTGTGTGTATAAAGTTTTAAGGTGAAAATTGTGTTATTTCAAACTTTGGTAAGGCAACCCAGCTTTTTGTGAGATGTTTTCATATTCATTCTGCTGTATAGGATTCTGGATCTCTTCCACAGATCCCTGATGCAAATATTATGTGCAAATAGCTTTATGTGTATGCGAAGTTTATGCTTAGGGATAGAGAAATTAAGCAGCAGAAGCCTTTCTAGCTGTTCTTGAATCTTGTCTGTGAAGCATCACGAACTCCCAAAGATTATATTATGTTGCTTACTTTGGGTGAATACATCCCTGCATATTGGGGAGTTTTACTTTTAAATAGTTGGGATTCTTTGTCAAGGAAAGAGAAGTGAAAGATATGAGATTGTGGGATATTTAGCAGAAACTGCAAGTTCACGAGTTGTAAGAACATAAGAAGGGCTATTAAATCTAGCTTTCTGCCTTCCAGGTTCGGGTACCTGATTATCCTTGGAAGATCACACACTGAATACAGACTCATGGTCTTAAACCTTACAGGCTTTGATAAAGATTAAGCATATTCAACTGGAGCAAAGATATCATGTCCCAGGCTGGAGAATTGGGATTCAAGGGGAAAACTATACATTCTGGGAATTTTGTGTAGTTTTGAAATTGTATTACTTGGTTGATACTAGATTAGAAAATGTGTTCATACCAGAGACATTGAAAACTACCTCTTATTGCAGTTTCTTAGGATATACTCAGTGCAGTTTTAAGATATTGTTGAGATCCTTGGAGTGTTTTGCTCTACTTTTATGTTCTGGAGACTTTAACTCTGTGGGTATTTTGAGCTTACTAGGGCAGAGTTGATTTGACGTAAATCCTGATATAAATAGTTTCTCGGAAGGGATCACTTTAAACAATTTAAACATTACTGTTAAATCACTAGGGGAAAAGAATATTTTTAGCCATAATTTCGTTAACATTCACAGATTTGAAATGATTAGTCAGGTAGTAGTCCCTGAGTTACAAACATTCAACTTACAAATGACTCATAGTTAAGAATGGGATGAGACAACAGGAAGTGAGAGAAATGTAACCCTTGGAAGGGAAGAGGTTTCACTACTGAAGCTTTAGCACAATCCTTATTTCAACGACAATCCAAAATTTTCCAAATCCAATTATCACAGAGACAGAAAGTAAGGTGAAATCTTCTGAACAGGAGCACAGACGGCAAAACAAACCCTTCCCTATGGTATAAAAAGCATACACACACACACTTTGTCTGGAGTTATACTCAACATATGTACCTATTCTGATTTACATGCAGATTCAACTTAAAAACAAATCCACAGAACCTATCTTGTTCATAACTTAGGGACTGCCTGTACTTGAATAATGTATCCAACAGGATAATAGTGTGAGGTTCCTGCATAAACTGAGACAACAGGTAGAGGACTGTATTCGTGAATTTGATGAGTTGTGAAAAAGTACTTTGGACTATTAGCAGGTGTTTTGGATTTGGGAATGTTTGCACATCTGTAGTGAGATAATGGAGATGAGATCCAAATTTAAACACAATATGTATTTATGTTTCATAAGCACCTTATGCACATAGCTGAAGATAATTTCATACACAATATTTTAAATAATATTGTGCATCAGACAGCCATCACAAGGCAAAGATGTCACTATTTCAGCCATTTTTGAATTTTGGAGCATTTCAGAATTTGGATTTCTGGATAAGGGATATTCAGTCTGCACAAATGCGGAACAAGTGTACAATGAGATATTGTATATAAATCAGGACTGTAAATTGGTTTACATATTATATTTCATATGTTACAATCATACACATTCAATATGCTACAATCATACACATTCAATCCAAACATTCATTGTTAACAAGCATGTTTGGATTATCTTCAGATATACTTCACATTTTGTCTTTGCAAAGGCTGTTTCTGGGTTCATCTGCGTGTGGAATTCACGCACTTTGACACCACTGCCATGGCTCATGGTATGGAATCATGAGAGTTGTATGGAATCATTTTTTATATTTATATTATTGAAAATCTTCTGCATGAACTGAGCCCACAAATATCAGGGAAAGGGATAACAAGTTCTCTGTCTCTATAGTGACACAACAGTTTTGATCCTCTGATTACACAGCAATATTGAAATATGATTTATATTTTATAAAAATAATTTAAATAAAAATATGAATTTATATGTTTTGAAATGAAGGTTAGCTTGTGTTATTAGCATACTCCATTAAAGAGTTTATACAGAACGTTGCCTCAGTGAAAGGAATAATCCATGGACTTCTTGGTTAGAATATTTCTAGGTAAAGATATCTTTTAACTCTGACATCAGAGAATAACTAAATAACTAGTCAGTCTCAAAATTTAATGCTTAAGTAACATGTAGAACCGCTGATACTGAATCTACCCTAATAATTAAATCAAGTGTAATTAATTTCAGTCAGTCTTTTTCTAGATTTTGGGAGTGAAACTGATTTAATTCTCCTTATGGATTATCTTCACTTGGCTATTGATCTTGTTGATTTTCCTGGATCTCTTGGCAGAATTTGTCTTTCAGGCCTTTTTTTTTTTTTTTGAGAGCAATGCTCTTTCCCACAATGAAAAGTCGTGGGTATTTAGTGTTATGCCCCAATTGTTTTTGATACCAAACATTGCAAGCTAATTATGCAAAAATGAGACATAGAATAGTTCTAAAACATATTTCCATATTGGAGATAGTAAAAATGCAAACGTGGTTCAATGTAAGTAGTTCTGAAATGACATGTATTGGGGCAAACACCCAAAAACCTCACATACATGTTGAAGAACTGGTGTTGATTGACTCTAGTTATGTGTTTTGTTTTGTTTTTCAGGAAAAGTAGAAAAATGTCTAATCCTCTGAATAATATTACTTGATTTAGCATGTTTGGTTCAAATATTACTGGTTGAGCATCCGTTATTCAGAATTCCAAAATACATTACCCCCAAATTGTCCACATGGGTTTCAGAAATGGTGGCCTCTTTGCTTACTTATGAGTCAGTGTCCATTGCACAAAATTATGAAAAGTATTGCATATAAAATTACTTGAAGGTTATATGTATATGAAATATAAACAAATTTTGTGTTCAGACTTGGATTACATTTTCAAAATATGTCAGTATGTACATACATGCAAGTATATGAAATGCTTCTGATCCCAAGCAGTTTGGATAAGGAATACTCAATCTGTGTCTTCAAATACTTTTAAAAGTTTATGTAGCAATTATTTAATTGCAAAAGTATAATCTACATAAAATAGTAATTAATTTTGTTGTATTGAACAAAAAGTGACTGCACCTGAAACAATACTGTGGAAGCACATTCTTAAAGTGATATTCTAAGTCTCTACAGCCTAGTCGTTTTTCTTCTTTGTTTGGTAAGACATATCATACCTTAAGATTATTTCATTGTACAGTTTGTCAGCCCCATTTCAAGTTGAGACAAAGCTTATCCAATACGCTAGTTGAGTATTTTCACTAAAGGATGTATAGGACTTGGTGGGTATTGGCAACTTACTGGCAATTTTGCAGTGCTGATTTCTTTTGAGGAATGACTGGAACTTCATATCCTATATTTAGTCCATCTTATATGATTGATTGCAGAACAACAGTCAAGACAACTATGAATATGTATATATGTATATCAATACATATAATGTGGAAAATTTTCTGATCAGTGCCTGCTAGTAATGATTGCAATATGTTAATTCAGCTTTCTCAAAAGCTTGGACGAGTTGGTAGTAAAATTGCTTGCATCTGTATAACAGGAATTTACAGTCCTTTGCACTTAGCAATGTTTTGGTTCTCTATGAAGAGTAGAAATTCTTCTTAAGTTTGTTATACTATGGGAGATGTCATTTTGCAGTAAAATAGGTTCTCCCCCCCCCCCCCCCCATAAATGCTAACATGTTTTATCCTTTAATCTAGGGATTCATCAAAGATGTTCATGAGGATTCACTCACTGTCGTATTTGAAAATAAGTAAGTATTGTCTATTGAAAAACATTTTACAGAAGATAAATTATTTTCATTTTTAATTTAAGAGTGCACTGTTATCTGTAACATAAAACAGTCTTATTCGCTATGGAAGGAATGTGTTCTTCCATAACATCTTGACTGAAAATACAGTAGAATGTAAATTGGAAAGGAAACATTTTTAAAATGTAATACTGAGTTGTTCATTACATTATGATTTATAGAATAAAATTAAGCATAAAAATGTAAATCAGTATAGAAGCTAACTTTAAAAGATAATACTGTAATATAGCAAATAACACTGTAAACAAACCAGTTATTATTGGCTTGGGAAGACCAACATTAAACAGATATGTTTTCAGAAACCTTTAAATACTGAATATAGTTTCTGCAAGGTTGTTGTAGGTTTTTCGGGCTATATGGCCATGTTCTAGAAGCATTCTTTCCTGACGTTTTGCCTGCATCTGTGGCAGGCATCCTCAGAGGTTGTGAGGTCACAACCTCTGAGGATGCCTGCCATAGATGCAGGCAAAACATCAGGAAAGAATGCTTCTAGAACATGGCCATATAGCCCGAAAAACCTACAACAACCCAGTGATTCCAGCCATGAAAGCTTTCAACGATACATATTTTCTGCCTCTGGGACCATGTTGGGAAGTGTGATCCAGAGATAGGCATCCTTTGGAATAGGGTCAATTTGTGGCTTCGTGTTTTTGAACCTATTATTATGGTTTACTTTCTTAACAGTTTTAACAGTTTTATGCATTTGAACAGAAATTTAACAGTGAAGAAAGTCACAAAATTCTCTCCGTTTGGCAAAAGTAGAGATGTTTAAGAATCCCTCTCCTGTCTTTTCAGGATATTTTCACCCATGTTGAGATCAGATTTAAAAGATTGAGAGGAAAAGTGACGTATATTCTTTGGCACATTCCTCCTTATGTCATGAGAGAAAAGAAGGCTTCAAACTTGTATTTTAGGACAGACCACAATTCTGTAGTGTGCTCAAGCTTGAAAGTTAATGAAACCAGAATCGAATTGTAACTTCAGAGCCTTTTATGTTATATAAGTTCAATTAGAATAGCCAGAATTTTCTGAGTGCATACATTAACACAGGGCCATGGTTTGTTCTTAAGTACAAACAAACTGTACACTTCTTTCAGATGGTAAGGATGAAAATAACTGAAAAGTACATGTGTAAAAGATTTACAGATAATTCCAATTTTTTCTCACTATGGCCTGAGCCACAAATGGGGAGGCAGCTTAGTAAAGATATTATGGTTTAGTAATATAAATAATAATAGATTTCTGAATTCAGCATTAAAAGATGTCAATATACCTTTTTTATTTAGCATTCATATCAAAGTATATTGCTCCAAAGTGGTATTAATTGTTGATTGTAGCTCACTTTTCTTGTTGACACTGACATATCTTTAAAATATCTGTTGAACTTTTAGTTGGCAACCAGAACGTCAGGTTCCTTTCAATGAAGTAAGATTACCACCACCACCTGATATCAAAAAAGAAATTGGTGAAGGAGATGAAGTGGAGGTGAGTTTGCACAAAACAACAGATGTTTAAATGGCACTTCATGAACTCAGAAACTAGTGGTATATCAAGTGGGCTTATTTCTAGACATCTTTTAGTTGAACTTATCATCTTCCTCAACTAAATTGAAGTCAATGAAAAATTCAAAGGGGTAGTGCCATGGAAAGAACCCAGCAAAATCCTGTTAGTTTTTATGGCCTTATGATTGTGGCACTGGTGCGTACTATGCCACATTTGATTAGCAGCCTTTCACCTAGCAGGAGTCAGCAGTGCTCTAGCAGACTGTTAGTGTGGTCAAACAGACAGAAGGAATTCCTCAGCAGATCTTAAAGCATTGGTGGTTCATAAGGGCAAATACAGCCCTTCAAATAACACAGACTCAAGCCATATGGGCCTTTTAAGATCAAAACGAGCACTTTGAATTGTGCCCAGAAACGAGAAGTAGTCAGTGAAGGTGTTCCAACAAAGGAGTTGTCTGTTTCCTATAGCTAGCCCCACTTAGCAGTCTGACTCAAACTCATTGGACCAGTTGAAGTTTCCAAACACTCTTCAAAGGCAGAATTCCAGAGGCTCAAACTCATTGGACCAGTTGAAGTTTCCAAACACTCTTCAAAGGCAGAATGTATTCCTAGCCACAGCTAAAACCTGAGCTACTAGGCACAGAATTGAAACCAGGAGTGTAGTCTAACTGCATTTGCATCTTCAGTGGAAGTGTAATCCCACCCAGATCAGGCTGAATCCCTATTCCCAGATCTGCCATTCAGCTAACTAGGAGTAGCTTTGTCTTGTCTGGTTTAAGTTTCAATTTGTTCACCCTCATCCCGTCCATTACCAGTGATAGGCACTTAGGACCAAAACAATTTTACTTGGTTTCTGCTGGAATGTAGTAGTTGTTATCTGTATTCTGATCACTTAACAACCTCTCCCTATATATGTTGAATAACCCAGGGAACCCTGCATACAATGGGGTCCAGCAGGGGTTCCTCCAGCAGTACCTTCTAGGATCAACCCTCCAGGAGGGATTGGAGTGGCTGTAAATCAGTTCCCCAAAGTCCAATCCTAGCAGGGTGATCCAGAAGGATACCATGGTATGAAAAGTTGCCAAGGGGCCTAGCAAAACGGACATGCTGCCCCCATTTTTCTCCAAGCATTGGTCATCCACCAAAGCAACTAAAGCTACCTCTATCACATAACCAGGCTTCTCTTGTTCAGAAATTATTAACCTTAGTTAAGACTTAAGAGTTTGATGGCATGGGAAGAGAATGTTACTTGAAGTCTTTATGGTTTATTTATTTGAGGAGTGAAGAGGTTGCATATGTGGCCATAGGGATTCCTCAGGGAATTCAGCTTTTATTAGGCAGCCCTGTGTCTACATTATTAGCATGAATGGGACCTGTGCTGTAATGCAGAGATTAAAACATGTTCTCCATAGTTCACATATGCTGTGTGATTTATTTTTAGGTTTACTCAAGAGCAAATGACCAAGAACCTTGTGGGTGGTGGCTTGCAAAAGTGCGAATGATGAAAGGGGAGGTAAGTAGATATAAAACTTGAGATTTGGCACAAATAAACTAGTACACCTGTATGTAATGTCTTGCAGTAGAGAAGGAGGGAATGCTCGGTTAAATTGCAGAAGTCTTAATAACCTTGCCTGCCACTCCCCTCCACTACCTAAAAAAGCTGGAACACCTTGGGGACTTTAAGGGGTTAGAAATGCTAATGTGTTGACACATAGTTTATACTGTTTTGAGACAAACCAGGGTATTAGTTGCTAATACATAGTTGTCTTGGTGAGGGAAATACAGTGGAAGTCTAATCTTAATTTTACTCCAATTACACACTTTTTGGGGAAAAAAATCTACCCCCTAATCGTAATAAATTCTTCTGTGGTTTCATTTTGATTTTCTTATCTAGGGCAGCCATACCTAAATAACGCTGCTCAGTTATTTTGGATTGCAGTTCCCATTAGTTCCTACTAATATGGAAACGAACACTGAAATTTGACATTGACAACACTTTGAGAACACTAGGTTGGGGAAGATTCAAAAGTCCCATTTTAAATGGGTATCAGGCTTCTGCTTTTCATGTAGAGAAATAAATAATTTAACAAAAGCTGATATGATTGCCATCAGATAATGAAAACCAGGTTCCTTAAGAGTCCAGTGAGAAACCTTGTGCTAGGTGCTACTTTGTATCCTTCTGTGGTTGTTAGGAGAAAATAAGACCTGTGGAAGAATGATGTGCTTTAGGGACAAATGATATTATAAAATATAATAATACACCCCAAAAGATGGAAGCAAATTTGTTGTTGAGTGGGAAACATAGTAATTTTACTTGTTGTTCTTACTTAGCAATGTTAGGCTCCTGTCCAAGTCCTCTCCCAAACCCAACTTTTCTCAGCTGCAAGCCCCTGAAGTCACCTACCTTCCTTGTTGGAGAGTGGGGGAAGCAACAGACAACATCCAGTTGTTTCCCTGGAGCTCTGTCCAGAACAAAGACATTATCTTCTGGAGTTAAACCTCAAAAAGTTTCAGGAAAGAATGGAAAACTGCACAATATGTTGACGGCGTTCAGCCCTGAAACACATTTAGTTGTGTGTCCAGCTTTAGGCCTGGCTTGTTTATATGTTGCTGCCCCTAATTTTCACTGACCAGGGGATAGCTGGGCATGTGGTTCTGCAGATGAGAAAAGGTGGCTTGGGAGTGATTTTGGTCACTGTGATTCAGACCTTTATCGTGACTGGAAAAGTGAGGTGTAGTGATATAAGTCTGACTTAATGCCAACCAGGAATCATATTTCACTAACAGTATGCCAGCCTTTATTTATAATTGAAATTTCCTTTAAAACCTTTGTTTCTCAGTTCTACGTGATTGAATATGCTGCCTGTGATGCCACCTATAATGAGATAGTCACATTTGAACGACTTCGGCCTGTGAATCAAAATAAAACAGTAAACAAGAATACATTTTTCAAGTGTGCAGTAGAAGTTCCTGAAGATCTAAGGGACGCGTGAGTATATTGCCATACAGTTTCATTATGTCTGTATCTTATATATTGATAAAAGCTGAAGAGAAAGAATGGATGAAAAATCCAAACAATTGTTTTGTGGCAGAGGACTGACAAAAATCACTGGGAGGCTTGGAGTAAAATTGAGTTCTCAGTTACAGGATATTGTCTGATTTTTATAAATTAAATTGATGATTGACAGGGTCTTATTTTAGTGGTCACCAAACATATGAGTTTAATATTCACACCAGGGGGAAAATCAGAGTTGGGATATTTTTCGCAATGAAACAGAAATCATTGGGTCTAGCTTCAATTAAATAAAGTTACATCATTTATTTTTTTAAAACGTTGCAAAACTAGTTGTGTTTTCTATAGAATTTTCATCAGTTTATGATGAAGATTAAAATTGCTGTATTTTTAAGAGACCAGTTTTTTTGATTGATGTTTCTTGAGTTTCATTGTGTATCTTAATGTGCTGTTCTTTTCTCATTAAGGGTTATGTAGCTTGCAAGTTTATATATTTATGTGTAATTAAAGATGTATTTAGTAAATAGCTGGCCTGTGCTTATTTGCTCCAAAACCCATTATGTTGTATTTTTACAGTGTTTGCTTGGCGGGAAGTGCGTCTTCAAATGTTGCATAGCTTTTTTTATATAGATATAGCAGCATGCCTATTAACTGTGCCACATAAATTGATTTATGCTTAATGTTGCTAGGTGTGCTAATGAAAGTGCCCATAAGGATTTTAAGAAAGCTGTAGGAGCCTGCAGAATTTTTTACCAGGCTGAAACAACTCAGTTGATCGTATTGGTAAGATATAAGACAAATTTTCCTCTTTCTTCTTCATGGTGTCTGTGAAATTGCACATACGCATTTGGCCACACAGTTGCAGTTCAGAACCTTTTAGATCTCTAAAATGAAACATTTTGACGGAGGCCCCATCCACTGTCCCCATGGAGTATAAGTAGCCACGGATGGGGCTGATCCTCGGTTCCTTTTTTCCACCAATACCTGCAGTTAGGAACCTTTTTCTCTCTGTTTTTTGCTTTGCTACTTGTTGCCTTCTAACAGTTTTTCAGACTTAGACTCCAAATGACTTGTTGCCTTTCTCCATCTCTTGACTTCAGACTGTACAATTTATTTGCTGCCTTCTCCCTCCCTTGACATTGGATTATACTTTGGGCTTATTTGCTCTTTTTGGCTTCTACCCTTCTTCTTAAAACTTGCTCTGCTTGTGGGACTAAGATTTGCCAGCAGAACACAGCTCCAGAGATCCAACCCATTCTGCACCATTTCGGGTGCTTGTTCTGCATCTCTTGGGGAAGCAAAACAGCTGCAAAAAAGCAGAGATTTCTTGCAGAAATGCCACTGCTGTTATATTAGAGTGGACATTGCTTTGTGCCATTTATATTTCAAACTACAAGAAGAAAAGTACTCCTGCATACCTTGTTTGCTCTCCAGTGATATAAAACAACTTGGATCTTACCATCCTTCTAAAAAACATATTAAGTATCTATATGCTTGTCTGTCCGTCTGTCTGTTTGTACCACAAAGGCTGTTGTTAGATGAAGTGGTCCATTGTAAAATCACTGGATATGCTATTACTAGGTGAAGGATTGGCTGCTAGCTGAAATGGTTCTCTGATATTTACTGGGAAAGAAAGGTGACATTTATTAGGGGAAGGAAGAAAAGTGCCACAAAGAGAGCCATGTTGCCATGGAGACATTGTGAGGTAGGCCCTCTCAGAGTTGGAGAAGGGAGAAAGTGAAGGGAAAAGAAGGAAGGAAAGAAAGAAAGAAAGGAAAAAAGAAGGAAAAGAAAAGAAAGAAGGGGGAGAGAAAGAAAAAGGGAAGAAAGAAAGGAAGGAGGAAAGGTTCTGAGGGGATGGAAAAAAAGAAAGAGAAAGAAGGGCCCTTCCAACGCCTAGGCAACACTTGGTATATATGCTAGTTAAATACATTTATGCTAGTTAAATCCTTGTAATTTTGTTCTCCTTAAAGGGGTATCCATTTTTTCTGAAATTTAAGTTTATGACAGTCATTAAATAAAACTTCCCAATAAATAAAGTGAAAATAAAATAAAACTGATTTGTAAAATAAAAATACTCGTGTCACATTTTTTGCAGTCTCCCAGTGAAGCAACAGTGAAACGAGTTGGTATTCTGAGTGACATGCATTTGCGCAGCATTCGAACTAAGTTAATGCTCATGTCAAGAAATGAGGAAGCCACAAAACATTTAGAAGTGAGTTGCTCTTATATTTATAGTTGTTATAGAATCATTTACTCATCCTAATTTTTGAAGCATTTCTTACTGAGGGAAAAATATTTTGCCTCCTTCCTAGTGCACAAAACAGCTTGCTGCAGCATTTCACGAGGAATTTGTTGTCAGAGAAGATTTGATGGGACTTGCAATAGGAACACATGGCAGCAACATACAGCAAGCAAGAAAAGTGCCAGGAGTTACTGCAATTGAGCTTGAGGAGGACACTGGAACTTTCAGGATCTATGGAGAGGTAAACAGAAAAAAATGGGAGTCTTACTTATAGTAGCTGCATGTTACTCTGCTTTTGGGTTTTTAATTTGGCCTGAGATAAATACACAGATTCCAAAAATCCTTGAGAGCCTATCATAAATTTGTTGGTGATGGTATATAGAGCCCTGTTGGTATCCCTCCCCCCCTTTATGCTTACATAATTTTATTGATATCAGTATGGTGCAAGTTTTGCTGTTTCATTTTCAGTTGTATCTTCCACATGGATTTATAATAACTGTGTTGGTCTTTGAACATGTTAGGGGTTAATTGTCAACAATAGCTGATAAGATAATGATTCTCCTTCCGCATGGAACAGAACAGGTTATTATTGTTTTTGTGTAGACTGGAGTAATTCCTTTTGCTTTAGGCCTGGATAAAAAAGCTTATAGACAGAATATTCCATATTAGCATATCTAGTGAAACTGGAAAAGTAACCATTTAAAATGATTGTACAGGTTTTTCTGTCTCTTTTTCTGTACTTCAGTGGCATTTTCACATCTTACAATAGCTTGTATGAGAGGCCTGCTTCAAACACTATATTCAACTTGTATTGTTGAAGGCTTTCATGGCCAGAATCACTGGGTTGCTCTGAGTTTTACAGCCCAGAAAACTCACATCAACCCTATATTTAGCTTCCTTGGAGCCAAATATTGGCTTTAACTCCCAAGAACTTTTCATGCAGCTATCTTAAATATGGACAATGTCTTATCTGTTGTCCTGTTTGTATTCTAGTGAAAAACGGAAAGCATTAGTGTGCAGGGCTTTGGGTTTTGTTTGTTGTTTTAGCCAGTATGACAGAAATGCTAACCAATGAAGTAATTGTGATGTGATAACTCTCCAGATAGGAGATGCAAATGCATCATCTTTCCATTACAAAGCAGGGATCTTCAAACTGTGAGGGACTTGCATTAAGTGGCAAATAAATATGGCAGTTTTCTTGCAACTTCAAGGCAAAAATGAACATTTTCTTCTGTGTTCCATAGCGGTGTGGATGAATTATTCTGTGCAGAAAAATACTTTTTATTGTTGTCAGCACAAAGTGTTTTTTACACAGAATAATTCATCTGCAGCTTTTTGGGTCATTTGAACTCTGAGAGAAAATTATGCAAATGTTTGTTTCTCCTGGCAGTGTTTTTCTGGCTGCTTTTTATCCTGGGATGAAATAACAACAAATATGCTTTCTATCCTTACTCTAAACTGTACTTCAAACTCTAATAATACGTCAATAATAACAGGATGCTTAGGATAGTGGTAGTGGGGCTACCCATTTAAAAATAATTGAAATAAGTGTCTAAAGCTCTTAAACATTTGTATAAAGTTTAGCAAATTCTTCTTTGAAACAGAAACTTAATTTCCCTGTATGCAAAGAGTCCTGATCATTCAGAAACATACAGTTATTCTATTTATTCTTGTCTGCAATTTTAACCTGCACCAATTTCATTCTCACAGTACTGCAGAGATTTTTATTTCCCAATAGTACATAATTTACATAATGTGGAAGCCTGGTCTTTCCTCAGCTTTATGTTTAAAGAGTTGACTGTTAGGCATAGCTCACCAGGAGTTTGTTCTTGTATCGCTAATAAGAAATAAATAAAAAGATATATGCTTTGTTCGTATTTCATATCAATGTAATCTTGTCTAAAGATTTAACTTTTAGAAGAAGTTTTAAATTTTAATGTGTTGTGTTCACAAATGGTCTCTGTTGATTTCCAGAGTGCTGAGGCAGTAAAAAAAGCTAGAAGCTATTTGGAATTTGTGGAGGACTTTATTCAAGTTCCTAGAAGTCTTGTCGGTATGTAATATTTCATAAAGTTTTCAGTTTCAGTTGGCTGAAAAGATTGACTGGAGGAACATGTTTCATTTCATTGGAGAAGCCACATATGAATGCAGCTCTCTTCCTGTCCTCCAAGTATGGAACTTTTAAGTGGAAGATGCTTCCTTTCTAGTCAGGTCTTCCAATCTCAGAGTGGCAGCTTCTTTGATTGAGTATATCCACTTGTTATACAGTCTTCCTCTTTTCCTATTCCTTCCCACTTTATATTCTTCTCTAATGGGATATCTCACCTAGGGATAGACCCTTCTAGGTAGTTGGGTTTAATTTGCTCTAAGATCCATGTATTGGCCATTATTCTCAATAACTGAATAAATAGGTTCTTCGTGTTTCCTTTGATGTGTTCCAAATCTTATTCAAATAATTAGCTACACAGATAACACAAATGGGAAGTTAACACAGATAACACAAATGGGAACAGCATTTGCAGTTCATTTATTGCTGTGGTGTATATTAATTATTTTGCAATAATTTGTTAATGCTTTTGGATAATTTATTTGAGAAATTATCTGCAGAAGTAGTAGTACTAACATGCAATCTTCTTTATTTTGCCAAAGGGAAAGTTATTGGAAAAAATGGAAAAGTTATTCAGGAGATTGTGGACAAATCTGGAGTAGTGCGAGTGAGAATTGAAGGCGACAACGAGAACAAACTGCCCAGAGAAGATGTATGATTTAACTTTTTCAGTTCAAGTGGTTTTCTGTCAGTGATATTTCTACACACACATATATATTGTGAAGTTTAACAGATAGTTTCAGGAACAGTAGCACCACATGACTCAGTCTGAGTGTGGAACTTAACAGAGTTAATAAATGAACTGAAGGCACAAAGAAAGAATTGTCATTTTAGATGTTGTGGTGGCTTGCATTAAAAGTGGTGAGAAAGCACCTACCCTTCAGTTTGAAGTCTACAACATACAAGGAATAAAGCATAGAGAACAAAGGGAGAAAAATACAAATTTTAGTGCTTATAATGACTGGTCAAAGGGAGTAGTAGTCAGTATCCTATCTTAAGCAACCATCACAAACATAACTGCTTCGAATAAAACTTTCAGGGTGGAGAAAGCAGGTGGAAAAGTCCCATGGTGGTAAAACACAGAAGCAGGTGGGGAATTCGGATATTTCTGTGCACAGTGGAAAGAGGCATGCTTCGAAACTTTGTAAAACTATTTTAAAAAGCCTATTTATTATAAGTCTAGCACAGTGAACTGGATTTAACTGTATAGAACATTACAGTGGACAGTCAACATAGCTTGCTCACAACTTGGTTTATGTCTACTTAAATGATATTATTTATTTGTAGGGTATGGTTCCATTTGTCTTTGTGGGTACAAAAGAAAGCATTGGGAATGTACAAGTACTTCTTGAATACCATATTGCCTACTTAAAGGTAAGCATTGAGGAAAACTGCATCCTTTAAAATTGACCTACCCTTTAAAATGTTTTTATACGTTATTTTCTATACGAAACTATTGTGGGACATAATCAGTAGTGTTGTATAGATACATAGTGAGATGGAATAGTTGTGCTGCCGCAGCCTTGTATACCTCATTAAATCAAATGCCTTTGAATTCTATAAAATTGGTGGAATGCCAATCGATTGATATGGCCACAGTGAAATGTAGGGTGGAAACTGAAATGGAATGTATTCTGAGGTGTTCACTAAAATCATACTGAAATTACTTCACCTTTTGGCAAGGTATTGGGATTCTTGGGTCTTGTTTGCAATGTGCTTTTACCTGTATAGGAGTACATGTTTTAAACGAATGTGAATTTAATAAGGAGCTAATCTGCATCTATTGTATAGCTGAAGTTTCATATTGATTCTATTTGAATGCATTTAAAATTGTCAAAGTGTCCTGGGAGCAATGTAAATCAAACCTGTTCGAAATAAAACCGGAATATTGCAGTGTGTCAGACCATCTTGAGCTGAGATACGTTGGTGTACCTCTATATTCAACTACAGTGTTATTGGGATTTTCTTCCCCTTCTTCTGCAGCAGATTCCCAAACACAGCTTCTGAAATCTTTTGCTCAGTGGAGAAGGTTTAGAACAGTGGTTCTAAACCTGTGGTTCCCCAAGTGTTTTGATCTACAATTCCCAGAAATTCCAGCCAGTTTACCAACTGTTAGGATTTCTGGGAGTTGAAGGCCAAAACATCTGGGAACCCACAGGTTGAGAACCACTGGTTTAGAAGATGTGCAGAGAGCAACAAGTAAAGAAGGGAACTGTCTGAAGAAGTGAGGTGCAGCAGAAAGGCACTTTGTTTTCATTTTCATTAACTACCCAATCCTGATTTTTATTTTTATCTATTAAAATATTTCTGTCCTGTCCTATATCAAAAGATCTCAGGATGACATATAAGAAAATAATCACTTAACTGCTATTCGATCACTGTGAGATTGTGTTTTAGGGTAAACCTCATTGTCAGTGAATTTGATTGTTTACAGAGTATGTGAAATGTTTGCTCTTTAAGCATCAGAGGGGAATGACTTTGACTCTCAATATAGGAAGTGGAACAGCTGCGGATGGAGAGGCTCCAAATTGATGAGCAGCTGCGTCAAATTGGCATGGGTTTCAGGCCTTCATCTACCAGGGGTCCTGAAAAGGAGAAGGGCTATACCACTGATGACAGCACCCCTTCCTCTGTGCAAGGCTCCAGATCCTACAGTGGAAGAGGTAGAGGACGGAGAGGTCCCAATTACACCTCTGGCTATGGTGCGTATATTCAAGGAAGAAGGATTAAAAACTGCTTTAGTAACTTTAATAGTGTTATAACTTGTTTGGCTACTGTCATTATCATGGAAAAAATATGTCTGAGTCCAAGATGTATATGTAAATTTTGTGTTGAAATAGTTTATGAATGTATTACCAGTGCATATTAGCTCTTAAAATATCGTGATGGTTAATTTAAAACCCAATGATTAAAACAGATTAAATAAGAATAGGTTGTGTGCTTACTTCAGTTTAGCCACATGCTTTTTTTAAACAACTATATGCAACCATAACAGAAAAGGACCTGTACAATCTAACTAAACTCCAGAATGTTGTTCAAGGTTTTAGTTACTCTGATTTAGAAAAAAAATCAAGTTACAATAGGTAACTTTTGAGAAACGAATTGTATTAACAGCTGTTGTCGTTTGAGTGCCTTTGATATTTTGATGTTATCTCGCCTCATGAATCATATCTCAACTGCCTGTTCTCTCTTGTTTTCTAAAGGAACAAATTCTGAGCTATCTAATCCCTCTGAAACAGAATCAGAAAGGAAAGATGAATTGAGTGATTGGTCATTAGCTGGTGATGACGAAAGAGAGAGCCGGCCCCAGCGTGACAGCAGAAGGCGGCCACCGGGGGGAAGAGGGCGCAGTGTTTCTGGGGGCCGCGGAAGAGGTGGCCCCCGGGGTGGGAAGTCCTCTATCAGTTCTGGTACGTAGTTTAACTGCGTGTTAAAATTATGCAGCAACACGTGTTTGTCAACAACCTTGTGCTGCAGTCTCTTCAGTTGATTACATTGATCTGGAAATTACACCCGAGTGTGTGTACTTGTTGTTTAGAAGTCTTGATACCTCCCAAATTAATTACAATAAATCATGACACGCAGATAATTTC